GGGGGGGGGACCAAGAGAGGACACGTGCTTGAGGATCGGAGGTCGACTTACTGATGCGACAGCTGGTCTACATGGTCTCTCTATATTGTATGTTGTGTGCGGATTTCGTCAATAAGGGAGAGCAATTGACTCAGGAGAAAGGGGGTACTCTAGGCAAAGCCGCGAGACTGCATACTGCTTGCATGTTTCGCTGGTACGACGGCTGTACACCTGACTGCCTTGCCAGACAAGACAGGTTTTGCCAACACACACGGCTGCAGCAGAGAGCCGCCGAAGTATCGAACAACCATGCACCGGTTCACAGGGTCCTCGTCTGGGTCCGCTGATCTGCGATTCAAACTCAAGACGCACACACACAAGCACCTGCAGGTCTAAAAGAGAGCGCTAGCACGTAACTGCTGGTGTGTGGTGCTGTACCGCAGTTCCGCCGATAGTGCTACTTGCGGTTGCCACCGAACGGGGTTGCAGGAGCCAGCAATAACGCAGCAATGCATACCAATGTGCTGCGCTGCTGTGTCCGAAACACAGTGGTACACATGATGGAGGCGCAATGCACATTGAAAACGAGCGGCCGACTAGAACGCTGCGGTCGTGGGTGTACGAGTCCAATCGTGCCCACCCTCCTGCCGCGCTAAGACAGCGGTCGACTACTAAATTCTGCTGTGAGTTGAATGCAACAGAACGCTGCTGTTGCATGCCGCTGACACCCACAACTTCACCGACCACCCACAAGGGTGACTTGACAGTTCAAACTATTCCCAACAATAAGCAACGTCCATGATTGTCAGGCCGTGCCACACGAACGACGCCTACGTCAAGCACTAGCAGCAGCAGCAGCAGCAGCAGCAGCAGCAGCAGCAGGCAGTGTTGGTTTGTATGTTGTCAGCGCGTAGCACTCAAGTCAGACATGACAGAGAGGGTCTCACGTACGTTCTGCATCAACTGCTGAATTCATATTTCACCTAAAAGAAGCCACCCTCGTGGCCATCGCAAGGCCCACCGCAAGGGCCGAGACGAGTCCTCTCTGCTGCGGGAATCGCGCCATTGGCAGCAACGGTCTGTCGATGAGGGATGGCCTGCCCCACGCGGGGAGCATCCAGGGCGGGGGGGGGCAGGGTTCCTCATACTTTAAATCACACATAAAAAATGCCTCCCGAACTTCCATTGAAACCCTCGCCCAACCAAGCCAACTTTGTGGCCTTGGCATCAGAAGAACTGGAGAGCCCAGTCGTCGCCGGAAACGTGGCGAACCCCGGGTGCCACCGCCACGCTCTCCTCCTCCTTCTACTGTTCATGAGATCGCTTGCCGGGACTGGCCACCGCGTCGCTTCTTCCCTTCTGTTCGCGAGGAGTAGTACCTTCCTCCCCACTAGCAGCCGCCTCGTGCGGCCCACACCGCCTCCTGCCAACCTCGTGCTCAAGTGCTCCTGGTCCAAGAGGCCGAACAAGATGGACTTCCGCGTGGCGACGTACAACATCCTCTGCAGCCACCTGGCGGAGCCGACCCGGTTCCCTCAGTGCAGCCCTAGGAACTTGGATGGCCCTACCCGGTTGAAGAGGGTCAAGCACAAGCTGGATGCGGAGGTAGGTGGGTGCAGGCGGAACGCGGCAACACAGCTTGACAGCAGTTACTGCTGTACATTCATGCACACAGCCACAACATCGAAGTCGATGCACCTTGTCTGTGTGCATGCTTCTTGTGCTCCGTCCTTCTCGTGCAGTTGCTGCTACACAGCGAGATAACTAGGCACTACCCCAACGCCGCTATAATTTGTCGCAGTCAGTTTCTTGGTACCGGTCCCGACCCCTTTCCAACTTCACACCACCGCTGATGTACAGCTCGGTTGCTCGGTGACTGGCTAGAGTACACAGCTTCCCTGCAGGGAGGAGGTGTTTCCATGATTTGACCCAAGGGGTCAAACGTCTCCCACGTCCTTCCGTTTGGCGTGTATCGCGCATCGTGTGCACGTTGAAGATATCGAAAGGGTCTGTGATCTGCCTACAAGAGGTGGGCATCCAGTGGGCAGGTGACCTACACGTGTACTTCATGGCCCGGGGGTACGCGTTCGTGACTGCGCATTACGGCAAGCACTTCAACAACTACATGGGTGAGGCGCTGGATGAGCATCCGAGTATGCACTGCAGTTGCGAGCGGCGAAGGCCTACTGCTGCCACACTGACTGCTTTGTATTCCCGCATCCCACAAGGGAAGAGTATGGCTATATACGAGAACTTCTCGATTGTTTTTTGACTGCTGTGCTCCCTCGTGTGAACCTTGCCGTAAACGAGCGCCAACGATAGCGTGCCGCTGCAGATCCAGGGTGATCTCCGACCATAACGGTTAACGGCAGGTCGTGTGCATGTTTCTCCCACCTTGGACGTCGGCAATCTATCACCTTTGTGGATAGCGTAAGCAATTCCAAGACGCTGTCAAGGGCAACTCACCTACCACTACTACTTGTGGTCTTACCTCAAATGGGTAGTTGTGTTTGTATTTATGTTTCCTAATGGCTCTGCTGTACTCCGCGTACGAGTGTATACCTGGTCATGTAAGGTGGATGGATCGAACAGGAGGGACGGGCACAGTCTCAGTATTCGCACATGTGCACAAAACGAACAAAACTCGTTCCTGGCCAGATACATGTCTCTCTCCTCTCCTGTACAATTTTAGAGCGGAGCTATTTACCCGCCACCCCACGCCATCACACGGTTACGGTTTTGAAGAGCGTAATCGTACCGCCGCTAGAGTACGCCGGAGAAGTATGGGAAGGAAATAAGAAGGTAGTGAAAGAACTCGAGGCGGCGCAGATGAAAGCAGCGAAAATCATCCTAGGATGCTCCACGCGCACAAGTAATGCAGCCGTGAGGGCAGAATTGGGGATCCAATCCCTACGGTCGGGAAGAGACGCGAGGAAGCTGACCTGGCAGTATCGCATGTGCGGGATGGGAGAGGAGAGGTTGCCGAGGATTGTATGGGAGGC